ATACAGGATGTAATACTCCTGAAATGATATTCCAAGAAAATTATTTTTTCTATAATTTCTGTCTGAAAATTGTGCTGCGGCCTATACATGCGTAAATACGGTATTTAGTCAAGCTTTCTACTATTCAAACAACACCGACAATAAAAAATATCCTTATTTGAAGACTTCTATCTCGTGAGATATAACGCCGTGTAGTCTGTCGAAAGTCAACAGACGTTTCGGAGGAGCATGTCACCTACATTTTCGAAGTCAAAAAATAAGCCAAGCAAGAAATCAGCATGAAGAAAGTAACAAGCAAGTAACCTCTGCTCGCTACCAGATAGTTTATTGTCTGGCTTATTTTCTCGACCTTGAAAGTGAAGGCATATGTTCCTCCGAAACGTCGGTTGACTTTAAATGGACTTACTACTCACTCATGAAAAAGACTCTTTCTTGAGAAGTGACCAATTATGCAGCTACTCAAGAACTTCCCAGCATTTTATGAAACCCAAAGGTTCATTACAGTATTCACAAGAGCCCTCCATCGGTCCCTATACTGAGCCAGATCGATCCAGTCCATACCATCCCACTCTATCTCTCTAAGATCCATTTTAATATTGTCCACCCACATACCTCTTGGTCTTCCGAGTGGTCTCTTTCCTACCAATTTCTTATATGCATTACTCTTCTCCTAATTCGTGCTACATTTCCTGCCCATCTTATTCTTCTTTACTTGATCAATCTAATTATACTTGGTGAAGAGCATAAGTTACGGAGCTCCTCATTATGCAGTTTTCTCCAACCTCCTGCCACTTCATCTCTCTTCGGTCCAAACATTCTCCTCAACATCCTGTTCTCAAACACCTTCAGTCTACGATGATACTTAGTTTTCTCTGTGTTTACTTCTAGACCAACCTCCTTTCTAGCGTAAATTAAAGTTTTTGTGTTTTTCTTTATGGTATCTATATTATCACCCAAATGAGCATGCGGTAGCATAGTTGGTTGAGGTACTATGCTACAAGTCGGAAGGTCGCGGGTTCAAGTCCCGATGAGGTCATTAGATTTTTTCCAATTGACCTAATCATTCCGGCTGCACTATGGCCCTGGGGTTGACTTAGCCTCTAACAAAAATGAGTACCAGGAATTAATTAAACAATCTTCCTGGGGAGTAAAGCGCGGCCGGCGCGTAGGGCTCACAACCTTACCGCCATCTTTGAGCCGATTGTCTAGATAGTGCGGGACCCTCAACGTCTCACAACCCTATGGGCCTTCACGGCTTGGTACAGGGATAGCTTTACTTTTACTTTTTTTTATTATCACCCAGTAGATTCACATCATCAGCACAGACCAGCAGCTGATGTGTCCCGTGTAATTTCCTTTCAACGGCCTACAAGGCGTTATTTCCGAGAAGACTGGACTCCTCATAACGACGACTGTGAGAATCTCAAATCCTACAACTTCTTTATTTAATATGACAATATTACACTCTTCACGAATACTGAAATATCTTTCCTGTCGCATTTGTATGAGACACATACAATTAAAATACTGGTACATCTACTGAATGTTTCCCCATTAAAGCTTCACACTCCATAAAGGAGAATTTTATACTCTAGAGGAAGTTGAAATACTCTGAACTTTAAAGGGTGGTACTAGGAAATGGTCCCACTCTGTTTCCCACGTACTGGCCCGCTACTCACACTGAAATTGTAAAGGAAACTGCGAAAAACCCTTTACAGGCGGACTTTATGGGCTGGAACTGAATTCGACCTGAATATAAAAGGTAGAATAATGACCATAAAAGGAGAAATTTCTGCTTGTGCGAGGTTTGCACGATGGTGAGCGCGCCTTGAAGCCCATACCAGTATTTCGCAGTTACTATTCCGAAAAGTACACACCACATGAATAACAACAAATATTGAACGCTAGAAAAGCCACTACCCATTCACCACATCACATGCTATACAACTGAAACCCGTGCGGACATGTGTAATGTAATCTCGACCGTGCATGCTCTTATTTTGCAGACGTGTCTCTCATGAGTTTGTACATATCACTGGATACTCATTTACTGAAGACTTAAATCTATACTTGCAAAACCTAACACATTACATATGACATTGTACATATGCTTCATTTAATACCCCTAAATGTGAAAATCATCTATATTTTTTGCTACATACCCATTTCTTTGCAGGATGAATACATTTTGGGATACATTATAAATTTGAAGATATGTATAATGTTGGGTTTTAATTAATCGGTAATGTAGTTACTATAGGATTCTGACGATGGTGTATAACACACTGATATATTGGGTTTCTGGACTTTATCCATCGTCCTGGTTTTTAAGATAAATAAAAACACGACGTTTCGGAAACTGGATCTGTTTCCGTCCTCAGGTGAAGGAAAAGGGAAACACCCATTCTGTTGGGTCCGTTAGAAAGAGCTAGCCTCAATCACTGGACAATCACCTGAGGACGGAAACAGATCCAGTTTCCGAAACGTCGTGTTTTTATTTGTTATCTTAAAAACCAGGACGATGGATAAATTCCAGAAACCCAATATATCAGTGTAATCGGTAATGGTCTAACTCAAATTGCCCTGAAAAGTACCATCTTCAGGGATGTAACGTGGTGTAATCCAGTGAATATCTACTGTGTCACGGCTGTGAGAATCTCAAATCCACATTAAATTTGCATGATAAATTTCAGTATACACAACACACCAATACCAAATTTCAACAAAATCCGTTTGTTAGTTTCGCAGATGAAAGTACACATAAATTGATTGGCAGACACTGCGTTCATTTTTGTCCAAAATACGTATAAACTATATGTATTTTGAAGGAAGCCGTCTTCTGGGATGTGGCGCCGTGTAGAAATTGTGTTAACAGAAGTTTCGGAGGAACGTATCGCCTCAAGCTTCAGGGTACAAGACCTGTTCTGCTGGTTCGCTCACGGATTTCTTGTCTTCTACCCTGAAGATGGAGACGATACGTTCCTCCGAAACGTCGGTTAACACAATTTCTACACGGCGCCACATCCCAGAAGACGGCTTTCTTCATAGTCACCTCCGTGAAAACCTCAAATCTTACATATACCTATTTTGTCTCTCATATCCCGGACATCTTCGCTCCACAACACCGATATCAAACCAAGAACATACAGGAAGAGAGAGAACAGAAGTGATAACAGATGGAAGTGGGGAAGATACTCAAAGAGAAGGTACCTGCTAGGCAAACGGGAAGAGAACCTGCGTTCATTCTCTCCCTGGCGGAGCACAGACCTATATTTTAGTTCAGAATACATATATCAGGTAAAGTAAAAAAAAGGCAGCGCTGTCCCTGTGCTTAACCAATTGAACACTACGCCATGAAGCCGTATGAAGAAGTGGATGCATAGCTCCATATTTTCTTGACCTCGGCGCTAGCTGGAGTTCAGTACTCAGCTTCACGTCCCGACCGCTTTACCCCCAGGGAAAAGTACCCCCAGTACGCAATGGATAGGTGATTGGGTGGACCCCAGAGCCGGTCTGGGTGATGTGGAGAAGATTCTTGACCCCCTGCGTCGTCCAGCCCGTAGCCAGTCGCTCGCAGACCAAAATCAGAATAATCATTGCCGTGAAGACCTTAAAACGTATAGCTGAGTATTATTATTATCGATTTCGTAAGAAATCAAAATATTCGTGTCTGAGCGCATAGTTCGCACTCAGTAGATAACAAATCCAGTAACGCCCACGACGAATTACTTTGCATAGCGGTTTTCGCCAGGCAATATAAACGAATGCGGGCGTAACTAAATGATAAGTGGGACAGAGATTACAGAACACGGTCCCAGTTAATTACCTAACACATTGGCTTCATACTGCAATTTCAACTCTCCAGAAGATATAGTGACGCAAAATTTTTTACATCTAACTATAACAGGACTACCATTTAAGTGAATTACTAGAATATAAGAGAGCTAGTTAAAACTGAGATTAAATTGAAAGGAATCATGCTGGATGTTTTCGACTGGTGGCTCAGTCTGCAGCCATCTGCTCATTCTGGTTCCTCGTTCGCGGATTTTTCTATCATGACGATGGAGGCGATACGTTCCTCCGAACGTCGGTTCACATAAGATCTACACGGCGGCACAACTCAGAAGACGGCATTCTTCACAGTCGTTACTTTCTCAGACAAATGTTATGTGCACTGAATTTTGTTTATGCTTATCAATTTTATGGATCTGAATCAGAAAAGATACGTATTTCCTATTCTGAGGATGGAGATAGCAGGTTCTTGTGAAACGCTGGAACCTATCTAATGAACCATACGGTATCTCATCAAAGAAGGCGGTAAAGTTAAGATGTCAAAAGTTCGGGACATGGCACTCGGTCAGAATGTTTCAGTCCTTCAGGTGAATATTGTCGGTGGATTTTCCATCATGTCTTCGGAATGTTCAAACGCCTGGATATGGATACTGTACAGAGTGTACCATGATTTTATTTGGCACATTTTCTTCTGAAACACTTTCGCTGTCACCCACTTCAAAAGAAACGGCACTGAGACAGGAAAGCGCCAATTCATCGGAAAGTAGACAAAATGTGATGCTTGTTTATAGAGAGGAAGTGTAAAGGGCTTCTGTAACTCCAGGATTATGTAAAAAAACTCTGCAAAATACAGAAATACTATAAAACTGCTGCTTTCTTTCAATTAACTCTGCCCAAACTGAGTTTCTGTTATCTATAACCTCCGCTGTCTTAATTCTTGGTACAAGTACGAATTTTCGAACCTGTAGTTATGAGGGCCATATCTAGTAAGGAAGAACATCGCATATGAGGTTGTATCTGCTACAAGTTACTACTAATCCCCTTATGGACGGCCAGTTTTACATCTCAATTTATTGTTCCCTCATTTTCACTCTTAACTTTTGTGTTGAGAGTATACTGTTGAAGATGAAACTATTAACAAAGCGAGTTGGAAAAAAACGAATGGATTACAGTTATAAGGAATTTACAAAGTGAAGGAAATGACTTACCCTCCGGCGGGCGCAGACTGGAGAGCATTGTCGGCGTCCAGACCGTGTCCAGGGTACTGCGTGGCTCTCGTCGGAGCGACGGCCAGGAAGAGCAGGAGCCAAAGTGCCATGGTGTTACTGCTCGGCAGATCCCGACGACCCTTGCTCGTATTTCTCTTTGTTGAGGCCGCAGTGACCAGAGATAACTGCCACATGCTGCACCACAGCGTTCAAGCGCGTGCGCGGAAACAGTTCTCACACAAAGTCATCCGATAATTCTCACTCGAGAAGAAATATGTCAATGGCGACTGTGGGAAGTGTTTCTGTTGTCTTCCGTCGCACTTTCCTTGGCTATTACTCAGTAAACACCAGAAATGACATCTCTTATACGCCACTGATCACGAAAGTCTCAGGTCCTTCCAGATATACCACGAGACAGGTATAATTTCATCAAACCAAATTGTAACGGTTCAAATTAAAAACGTAAATATCCGCTAATAGTGACATTGACGCTGCGTCTTCATGTCGGGGTCTATGTTACTAAAAGTTCAGATCAAATAAGTCAAAACGAAACCAAGTTTCGTTACTCACCGCGATAACGTTAAGATTATTGAGATGGTTAGTTCAACAGCAATAAAATTAATTCAAATAATTCGACTTCATTCAAGAATGTCTTGCGCATCGATCGGCAAGAGAAGGGCTCCCAAGTTGTCCTGAAGCAGCACCACACTCTGCGTGACTGCGGCAGTACTCCCCGAGTGCTTCCTCGTGCCGAAGACCCGACTGCCACCGAGCTCTATACCGTCTCCGTCCAGGACTGGCTGAGACTGACACCCATCGCTGGAGCCGCAGCATCAGTAGCAGTAGTCTCTCCACTTCCCTCTCCTTCTCATTCTGCCACTCGCTCCGCACCATCTTAAGGCAAATGAAAACGTTTTCAATTGTATTACTTCGCACACCCTCTCACTCCCTCTAAATGCGCAGTGGTCACCAGAACTCTACGCACGTTATTTCAATGTTGGTAGGGCACTAAAATCACTGTTTAACTTAAATTAATTTGAAGAAAGCAGTCTTCTGGGATTTGGCACCGTGTATATGTGGTGTTAACCGACGTTTCGGAGGAACGTATCGCCTCCATCTTCAGGGTAGAAGAAAAAATATAAGAAATCTGCAAGCGAAGAGACCGTTAGAACCGGTAAAAGCAGACACCAGTCGCAGATTTCTTAATTTTTTCTTCTACCCTGAAGATGGAGGCGATACGTTCCTCCGAAACGTCGGTTAACACCACATATACACGGTGCCAAATCCCAGAAGACTGCTTTCTTCATAGTCACCGCCGTGAAAGCCTCAAATCTTACTTAAATTAATTTCATCGATTGTCAAAATATTGGCTATATCAATTTTCTGCAGTAGCTACATTTCATTTGTGGTTTACTTTAAGGTGCTGTCAGTAACTTGATCATATAGCGTCTAATGGTATAGTCCAGCAAACAAAAACAAACTCCGTGATTTTAGTCCGCAAGCGAACTATACCGAACGAGGGACCGCCGCTTGTCGGCGAAGTTAGTGCCAACTTTAGAGGATAGAGGGTGTCGCGTGGTCAGCGCAACGAATTCCCACGGCAGTTAATTTCGGTTTTCTAGACCAGAACCGCTATTTCCTTGAAATAGCTCCTCAATTATCCTCACGAGGCTGAGTAGACCCCGTTCCAGACCCACTGCTTCTCAGAAAAAAATCTGGTAGCGCCGGGAATCGAACCCGGACCTCTGGATCTGTAGCCGGGAACTAGTATAGTCCAGCACACGCCAAGAAGCGTAGTGAATGGGGAAGAAAATCAAGAAAACTTTTACCTCACTGCCAAGGAAACAAGAAATACAAAAGAAGATAGATATAGTAGAACTCGCAACACGCCCATTTCAATTATCGGAAATTATTTTAAAATTATTTTAATAAGAAACAAGAACTTTTAAACTGAAGTATCTTGCGTACCACGAAATACTGAATACAGTGTAGCAATTTACACAAATCAACACATATACCTGATGATGGCCCCCCTCGGCCGAAACAGGTTGTAAATACATACGAAAACATGGGCTAAATAGTTATCTAGCCAACAAGGTACGAGAATGTTGCGTTTAAGAGTTTGTGACTAACAACAACATGGTTATCGTTCCCCAACCTCCCTACTAGCCAGACTTAGCATCCTGTGATTTCTCTTTGTTTCCCAAACTGAAAATGAAAGAGAAGGGACGACGTTTCGAAACTGTGTCTGACAAGCAAAGGGAATCACAAGCGGCACTCGACAGCATTAAGGAAAATGGCTTAGACGGTGTTTCTGAAACATGGAAAAAAAAAAAAAACCGATGGGAGCGCTGTGTACGTTCCCAAGGAGACTGTTTTGAAGGGGATGTCAGCCAAAATTGAGTAAGTTAAGCAGGCATTTCTTTTTGACCCAGTCGGGGAACTTTCCGATACAAGACTGTCTTATACGAGAGCGTACAGCAAGTGCTCAAACAATGCAACATGATTCTCAAATAAAATATCATTCGCAGGATGGCTGATCAGTTGGAAAGGATCTGGAAGGAAGCGATCGTGGGCTAGTCGAGTTACTATCCAGACATTTCACCGGAGGGTCTGGGGAAAAATATGAAAAACCTCTGTCAGGATAGCCTGTGTTCCGGCCAAGACTGAACCGCGTACCTCCTGTACACAAGTCTACTGTGTTCCGGATACATCAGCCTGATCGGTACTTGTTCTGTTGAACTGCTACAGAATAAAATAAAATGTTCTACGTCATAATACAGTGTAAAGGTGCAGTTGTGCCTGTGCTTAACTAATTAAGCACTATGCCATGGGGGAGTGGATGTATAGATCTATATTTTCTTGATTTCGGCACTAGCTGGAGGTCAGTACTCAGCTTCACGACCCAGTCGCTTTATCCCCGAGAAAAGACGCCCCTGTTCCCATTATATAGGAGGTCGGGTGGACACCAAGCCGGTCTGGACGACATGGAGAAGAGAAAATTCTTGACCCTTCCGGGACTCGAAGTCCGACACCGGCCGTCCAGCCCGTAGCCAGTCGCTGTACCGACTGTGCTATCAATAGAAATGACAGGGTAACATGGGAATGTCTGACATTAGAACCGACAAATTTAACTTGTATAGTACATTTACTAAGTTATTACAAATAATGATGATGAATATAATGATGATGATGACAATAATCGCGATAAGACAAAGAAAATGGCTATGAAAGAAAAGATGAACGTTGGAATAAAAACTGATATATAATCACACAGTTATCATTACCTAGGATACACAAATACAAAAACAGACAACAGAGATATAGAAATAAAAATGAATACATTTAATCAAACGTGCAACAAATAAGAATATCGAATAACATATAAGAAAAATACCCAGATACAATTTCATAAACATATGGAGGTACATATGCTTACACATGGATCCAAAATTTGGACTATAACAAAAAATAGGAAACAGAAACTACAGAAATGAAAGTTTTGGGGAGTGTAACAATCTACATAAAGAAGGGACAAACAAGAAATGCTAGAAATTGTGAAGAACTTAATACTTTTAATCGAAATAATAAAATTCCAAAGAAAGTGTTAATATACAACGAAACAGAGGGCGACCACAGTTAAGACGGAGGAACCAACATCCTCTTCTCCAGGAAGGAACAAATCAAGCATGACTTAGTCCATGAAGATGATGAAAATTATCTGTAACAAGTTTAGAGTTGCAGGCAATAGGAGCATAATTCTAGTATTCTAACCTGTAAGTTAAACTACGTTCTACTGTTGAATTACAGACTTGGACATAAGTACAGAAACTGACAGCACTGGATCTATAGGACTGAAAGTATGTGCAACAGAAAAGTATATTTCTTCGAAGTTCTACACCGAATTCTTTGTTTGCACCGAAATTCAGACACCAGAATTACTTCAGATTGTGGCCTTCTGAGTCATCAGGTTTTCAGCCTAATGATGAAAGCAGTAGTTTCTACTGAAACCATTCTACCTACAAAACTACAAAAGACCACAATCTAAATTTTCATCATGCAGAATTACTGGAATAATAATTTATAGAATACTCTCAAAGCTTTGTTAAGAATCTACTGCCTCTTCGTATCTGTTGAACGTAATGTATACAAGAATCTGAAGATAATGCCCTTCAAAATATTGGCTCGATCCCCATTTTCTAACAGAAACAATTACAAAAACAATTTTGTTCAAAACACGTGTCCACTATGTATCATCACTAATGTAACAGCTCCCATCTTCTCCACGCCCGGTGTCGCCTGCACACAGGTTGTAATTGGTTTGGGGGAAGCGCTGCAGGAGCCAGGGGACTCTGCTGTACAATACAGTCGGAAAACGTGTTTGTACTGAAATTGACTTGAGCCATTAATGTCATGTTTCCATAATGAGACAGTGTGTCAGCCATGTCTGTCTGTGTACATCAAGCCCAGTTCACAACTGGACTCAATTTAACATGCTTGCACGTACGTATATAAAAGGTAAGATAAAGCTGTCCCTGTGCTTAACTAATTAAGCACTGCGCCATGAAGGCGTATGGGGGAGTGGATGTATAGATTCACATTTTTTTACCTCGGCACTAGCTGGAGGTGAGTGGTCAGCTTCACGCCCTGGCCGCTTTTCCCCCCGGGGAAAGCCCCGGTACTCATTAGATAGGAGATTGGGTGGACCCCAAAGCCGGTCTGGACGATTTGGAGAGGTGAACATTCTTGACCCTACCGGGACTTGAACTCCGACCCCGTAGTCAGTCGCTATACCGACTGAGCTACCCCGGCTCCCACGAATATAAAATGGGAGACATAACGATCGTCCGTGTAATGCTTGACGTTACGTTAACTCTGCAACATACTTGTACATGCTGTCTACATAAAATAGGCGCAACAAATCAATAGAACACATGTCCTTCAGAATTATAGCAAAATGTTCATAGTGATGATCTGTTATATTTGTTGACAGTTAAGATAATTATTTCGACTTTTATTTTGGCGAGTTTCAAAATAACTAGCGTCACTCAGAGGGAGAGACGTCCAACGGTCATCTTTTTAAGTTGCTTATTTAACGACGCTACATAGCGTCGGATAATGAGGATTAATGAATATGGAGCAATTGGTGAAATGAGAATTTGCAGGGGAAACCAAAGTTATCAGAGAAAAGCCGATTCAATGTTACTGTTTCACAAAAAATTCCATTTGGGTTGACCTGGGATTGAATCTGACCGCCTGAACTAGATTAATTTCCTTTAAAAATTTTGTACGATATGAAACATTTTCATTTCTTCTAAATTATAAAATTATTTTATAAATCTACAAAGTTTAAGGAATCATTTTAAGAGAAATAAGCAGACTCCCTACTGCAGACTAGTAACATACAAATCAGTTAATGAGGAGATAACGTGCAGACAAAACAAAGAAGACACGATCCTTAGAATCACACACAAATATTCTGTCAGAAGAAAACGATACATAAGAATACATAGGAATAAGCAGATTTACTCGAAAATATGCCATTAGAAAGGTCCAAGAAACCCAGGAAGAGCTGAAACCGGACGACATATATCAGCTTCTAATCTGTGCTCATGTCGTTATATATTTATTCCGCGAAAACATAAATACCATAAGAGACAGAAGCTCCTGTAGACCCTGCTAAGGAGGTCTTGTCAATAGATTCGGGGCCAAACCATAGCATAAAGACACCCAAAAGATTCTTTAAAAATGGTTCAAATACCTCGGAAGGATAATGACAAATTAAAACCGTTCTCATGAAAATTTTAAGAATACATTACATTCGGGAAATGCTAATTATCATTCAATTTAGCACCTTCAGTCTTCTTGACT